CACCACATATGCAGTATATAGTAGAAAAACGTATTTGAACTATTGATATTCTATTAATAGTTTAATTTATAAACTTATAATCTGTTAATTGTACATAAATAATAAGTATAAAACATTTTCATATTAAATAAGCTACTTCTTTTTCTTGTAAATCCTATCTCTAAGTCTACAAAAACATCAAGAACGGGAAGTAAATAAATTTATTTATAGCATGAAAACAATTTTATTGCTATATTATATATTATATATAAGTTTAGCCACTTAATGCTGTGTATATAATTCTTAAAAAGTATAAAATATTTTTAAGTCAATTTTTCCTAACAGTAAGCAGCATCTGTACAAAATTGGTACTTGTAACCATTTTGTAATTGCTGCATATTAACCACAACAGTTTTATCACAACGTATATAATAGTATATACAAAAGTCTGTCCCCTGTAAAGGTTGTTTCGTTTACCTATAAAACTGTTGTTGATGTTGTGACCATTGGCTTTGAGGTGGTGGAGCTTGCTGCTGAGGTGGTGGTGGGCCATACGACGGATCTTGTATGTACCCTGTTGGAGATGGCCTTATTGAGGTTGGCGTAGACGATACATATTGTTGCTGCTGTGGTGGAGGTGGTGGAACATAAGATACTTGAGCAGGATGTTGTGGCTGTGGATAGTACTGTTGTGTTTGTGAAACTGGAGGTGGCACATTGTAACCTCCATAATTAACTTGAGGTGGAGGAGGAGGATAATAATGATGACTTTGTTGTGAATGTATTTCATGTGTTGATATAGACGTATCTTGAATGGGTACAGTTATCAGATTTGTTCTTAATGGAGCATTACTTGGTGGTGGTGGCTGAGAACTTTGAGAATAATTTTGCATCGATATTAGTGACTGTGGCCTATGCTGTTGCCTATGTTCCACTGGTATCTGACTGACCATAGAATTCACTCTAGGATCGTTTCCCATTATTGGCTGAACCATATGCGATTGCACCGACTTTATACGAGTATTCTGCATCGCAACTGATGGAACTTTTGTTAATTGAGACTCTATTTCTGACTTAGTATGGACATATTGAGGAGGATCAACTTGCATTCCTTGAACTTGTTGTGGTGGGGCTGAGATATGACGATGATTTATATGTGCCTGCACAAATCATATCATACAGTACCAGAATTAAAACATTTTATAAAATTTGAATAAATTCTGTCTAATTACCTGCAAATCTCTTTGACTAAGATATGTTCTTCTGCAACCTGCATTTCCATATCTAGTTCCTCCATGCGTGCACATGAACACAGTACCCAAACCAGTTTGTTCGACTCTAGAAACCTTTTCCATACAACGTGGACAAACTTTGTCTTCCCTTTTAGCACAAGACAAGCAAAACACATGTTTACAAGGTATCTAAAACATTAGTTTTAAGAATTTTTAATGTTAAATAAGAAAATACATACACAATACATAAATTTGTTTGTTACTTAAAAAATTAAAACACAAGCATTGCTTACCATACGTCCATAGATGAGAATTGGTTTCAGACACTTGTCACAACAGTGTATCATAGGATTTAAAACTTTCTCTCCAATAAGATTCACTCTATGGTCCCATCTTAAACGGAGCATTGGCTCAGGGGGTCCCCTGTTAATAGTTGTGAAAGTTGGAGCCTCCAGTTGTGATATATCAGCCTCCAAATCAAATTGTTGTTCCAAGGGAGGTTGTTGTGCTGGTGGGGCTTCATGCTCTTCCAATTCTGTTCCAGGTGTTTCTGTTGGTGTCTCTTCAACTTGTTGTGTGGTATCTTCTTCATCACTTTCAATAACCTGACTCAGGTAATAAAAATAATATTAGGTCTGGGAAAAAGTTCGTGGCGTTTTTCCGATAGATGTCGTTAATTGTTAATAATTCACGAAGAACTTATTGCAACAATACCACTAAACACTTTATTTAAAGGTGACACATTGAACATAATTTTGAGCGTATAAACATCGGGGTGGTGCAGTACTTGGAAAGTTGTTGGCGTTTGAAAATGGAGGGAAGTAATGAGAAATTTTGCTATATTTTACAATATCATTACGATAAAGGGAAGAACGCTGTGCAGGCTTGTGAAAAAATTTGTGCTGTGCATGGTGAAGGTACATTATCAAAATCAGCTGCGCGGAAATGGTTCACTCGCTTTCGTTCTGGTAATTTTGATGTGAAAGACGAGTCACGCTCTGGTCGTTCAGTTACTGAAAAAGCTAATGAAATTGTTGAAAAAGTCCAACAAGATAAGCATATTAGCAGTGTCGATGTTGGTATGGAGTTGGATACAAACAGAAGCTGGATGTTTGGGTTCCTCATGAGTTGAGCGCGGAAAACATGATGAATCGAATCAACATCTGTGATGCGCTGCTGAAATGTAATGAAATCGAGCCATTTCTGAAACGTGTCATAACCGGTGATGAAAAATGGATCACGTACGACAATCGGAAGCGCCAAAGAACATGGACAAAAGATGATGAGCCGTCACAAGTGTTCGCGAAGCCAGGATTGACGCTAAAAAAGGTGATGCTGTGTGTGTGGTAGGACTGGAAGGGAATCGTCCACCATGAGGTACTTCCAGTTGGTCAGACGATTAATTCTCAACTCTATTGTGAACAACTGGAGAGATTACGCCACGCAATTGAAAAAAAGACAGCCTGAATTGCACAATAGGAAAAGTGTTGTCTTCCATCACGACAATGCTCAACTACACATTTCTTTGATGACCCGTAAAAAATTGCGAGAGTTTGGTTGGAAAATTTTGATGCACCTACTATATAATCCAGACATAGCACCCTCTATCTATTACTTGTTCCGATCTCTGCAGAACTCTCCCGAAACTCCCCGTTCCGAACTCTCTCAATGGAATTAAACTGGCTTCAAAAGAAGCCTCTGAAAACCACTTGATTCAGTTTTTTAACCAGAAACTACAGAAGTTCTTCACCGATGGTATCATGATTCTACCCAAAAGATGGCGAAACATTGTCGATAATAATGGAGCATATTTGATTTAAATAAATTCATTTTCACAATATAAAAAATCCAGTTGAATTTTACTAACAAAACGCCACGAACTTTTTCCCAGACCCAATA